ACCCTGAAGTATTGCTGATTTGAACTTACAACCCCTCTAGTTTTATTATTGCTAAAACTTTGGCATATTTTGAAATTAGTGAGTATATCTGGTAAAAGAGTTGAAAGAGTTTAAACCAGGGGTCAATTTGCAATAATAAAACTATATGGGTAAGTAAGTTCGAAACAGTGATACTAAAGGGTGCCTGTGCAGTTAACCCTTTTTTTCACTATGAATTTCACTACTATGTTTTAGGTTTTCATATCTTTGGCTCAGTTTTGTGATTCTTTATGTACTAGTGTGCACCTCATGCAAAACACGACCCCCTATTTTTTAAGCACTGCATTTTAAACTTGTCTCCCTCCAAGTTTTAATACATTTGATTTAATTATTGTATGCTTAAAATTAGAAATCATATCTACTCCTCTACACTTAAAGAATGATCCAAGCTTTAATATATTTGATTTAAAAATCATATCTACTCCTCTATACTTAAAGAAGGATCCAAGTTTTAATACATTTGATTTGCTTTATTATTTATGATACTGTAAAATACCGTAGCATAAATAGTAACTTCAGTAACATAAACAATAATTTTGAGTGTAGATAATATTTATTTAGTATTTACTATAGTATAAACAATAATTCTTTGGGTTCTCCTTTACGTATAGAGGAGTAGATACCCTCTTCTTTATTTGGTTTTGACTAAGATGATATAGAGGTTTGTTTCTTATTGTTCAATTATCAAGTCATGTTGAATTTTGTGTTTTACATATTTGACTACATCTTCAAATGGATCTTTTTTTTTGGATTTTTAATTGGCATCCTTGATGTGCTTTGGATTATTTTTTACTGATTCCTGCTGCAATTTTGCAGTTTCTTTGGTACTTTATTTGTTTGGGACTTTATATATATATATATATATTATATATATATATATATATATATATTATATATATATATATATATATATATATATATATATATATATATTTTTTTTTTTTTTTTGTTTTTTAGACTTTCAGCATGTAAGTTTATTCATTTTTTGGTTATAGTACTTAAAATACAGGTCACAATTGGCTGATTTTATTTGTATTGGTTGCATCTCTATTTTTGTTCACTTGCTTTTGTTTGGCATGCAAAAATGTCCTTGTAGATATCTCCTGGCTGAGATCTCTATCAGTTTGCATAATTAATTAAGAACAGGATTGTCTTTCCTCTTTGACTTTTATTTTCCTTTTTTGCATTTTTTTGCTTCGCAGTATTTATAATTAATCTGTCGCTAGTATTATTCTAATTTGACAGCCATCCCTTGAATACTTCAAACCTGGAGCTTACTAAAATGTACTGCAACCAGAGTTGGTTATAAATTATTTAAGCTTATAGTTGCATATATGTTGTTCTATCCAGTGAAAATTATTTTTGCACTCATCTATCCTGATAGTTGACCTCTATTCCAGCAATTTTTCCTGGAAATTTCCCTTTTCCTGACATTTTTGACATCTTTGTTAAGACATTTAATATCAGAAACGTATATGAAATGAGCAATATGGTTCTAAAATTTTGCATTGACATTTTTATTTACATGTCATTTTCACTCCAGTTTTAACATTTTAAGTAACTAACATATTCATTTGCATTTCTGCAGCCAATGTGGGTTGGAGAGGATCAATATGTTGAATTATCCACGCAACCGAGCAGAAAAGACCAAAACAACAAGAAAAACCCTTCACCTTCATACCCTAAAAGAGTCCCTTCACATTTCCTCAATAAGCACCAATCTAATGAGAGGAGAAATACGAAAGGAAATCTAATCTCAGACCCTGGGCAATCCTCCACAGAATTTATTGAGAATTATGAGGAGTCTTGGTCCGAATATGGACTTGATATAGAGGTTGAAAAAACTTCGATTCTGACGAAGAAATATTTACATTATATATATTATCTTGTTCATCTGATTTATCTATGTAAATTATACAAATATTTTTTATTTGTCTTATAGAAAAAATAACCCTGAACCAACAATGTCACAGAGCAACCAAAGCCAAGGCCAAGACGAGAAGCAGGAACAACAAACACCCCTGGAATTTACATGGTATATTCAACTTCTAAAACACACTTTTTGATACGATGTTGCCTGATTTTGTCATATTTCATCATTCTATGTTCTTTCACAATCAACCTCTTTGTTATGATAATCACTATGTTAAAGAGTTTCTACGAAATGAAATTGCCGCCTTCATATCACATTCATGCCATAATTATCATACCAACTTTCAATCTTCTCGTTACTCAAATTTCTCTTCAGTTCTCCAATCACCTCAATGGTTGATTCCGATAGCTTCATTTCGTGGAGCAAAGCAAACCCACCAAAGGACTTTGTGTGCCCGATAACTAGCAACATATTCAATGATCCAGTAACCCTCGAGACTGGCCAGACCTACGAACGCGAAGCTATTGGAGAATGGCTAGATCGAGGAAACTCAACATGCCCAGTTACGCGTCAGAAGCTTTCAAGCACTCAATTGCCGAAAACCAACTATGTTCTCAAAAGACTTATCGATAGCTGGATAGAACAGAATCCATATTCAACTCCAATTCAAAATCAGTCACAAAGCCCTTCTCCATTGCGTGCACCGTCTCCTACTAGCGTCATAAGCCAAGCTTCCATCGATGGAACGACAGCAGATCTTCGCCTTGCAATCTCACAGCTCTGCACTTCTGAGATCCTCGATGAATCTGAAATGGCTGTTCTTCATATTGAACAGTTTTGGAGGGACTCCAACATGGAGTCTGAGATTCTCGCAGCTTTATCGAAACCTGCGGTGATCAATGGCTTTGTTGAAATACTGTTTAATTCTGTCAACCCTCAAATTCTCAGGTCTACAGTTTTCTTGCTCGCCGAATTAGCGTCAAAGGATAAATATGTTATCCAAACTCTGACACGGGTCGATTCTGATATTGATTGCATGGTTGCCCTCTTCAAGAAAGGACTAGTGGAGGCAATAGTACTGATTTATTTGCTGAATCTCTCTTTGGGGAATCTAATAGGAATGGATATGCTTGATGCGCTTATAATGACTGTAAAGAGAAACGTAGAAGATGAGTTTGATATTTGTTTGAAGCCCAAGACTGTGTCTGTGCTTCTCTTGTGGCGAATGATGAGAAACGATGCGAGAACTTCAGCAGTTGTTGCTGGTTCTCTGGTTTCAGGGAGGGCCATTCAGAGTGTTGTTTTGAGCTTGGGAGCTGAGTTGATTGAGGAGAGGATAGCTGCTATTGGGATTTTAGTTAGGTGCATTGAGGAGGATGGAAATTGTAGAAATTTGATTGCTGACCAAGCTAAGTTGGCACAAGTTATGGAGAGTTTTACAGTGGCGAATGACATTGAAAGACTTGAGATTGTAAGGTTTCTTCATGAGCTGGTGAAGCTGAGCAGGTACTCCAAGTTACTATGTGATATTATATGTTTTAAATTTGATGGATATTGTTACTGAATCTGTGAAATGTTTTTTGTGCGTGTTTTGCATAAGGAGAACATTCAACCAGCAGATTCTGCAAATTATAAAGGATGAAGGTGTTTTCAGTACAATGCACACCCTTCTTCTTTATCTACAGACAGCTCTCAAGGATCAAGCGCCCATAGTTGCAGCTCTACTTCTGCAGCTTGATCTTTTGGTTTGTATCTTTTGATGTTTTATTTTTTATCAGATAAATTTATATTACACATTCACTTAGGTTTTATCTTAATTTAATTTGACAACCAATAAACAGCAGTATATTTCAATTTACCTCCATCGAGTACAGGCTCATAAAATTCAGTCCATCAGGTTGAGCCAAAACTGATGAGTGTATACCGTGAAGAAGCCATCGATGCTCTTATATCTTCTCTAAAAGATTCGAACTTCCCAAGTACTCAAATTCTCGCTGCAGAGACGATCTCATCTCTTCAAGGCAGGTTCTCATACTCTGGCAAGCCCCTGATTCGAGCTTTTCTCTTAAAGCACGCAGGAATGACGAAGAGCTACAGGGCATTAATGCGCGCAGAACAGCTTGGTCATGTTCTTGAAGATCCTGATGAAAATTTGGTCAGCTTCAATTTCTTTTCTCTCTTAATTCCGTTCGTTCCATCATTGGATATCTCTTCTTAAGCTTTTATCGATGCCATAGGAGGAAGAGAAAGCAGCCGACGAATGGGAAAGAAGAATGGCATTTGCTCTGGTGAGCCATGAGTTTGGATTGATCTTTGAAGCTTTAGCTGATGGTATGAAGAGCAAAAATGCTGAGTTATTCTCAGTATGTCTAGTATCTGCAACTTGGCTTGTTCATATGCTATCTTTTCTTCCTGATACTGGGCTAAGAGGGGCTGCAAGAATGTGTTTGCTGAAACGATATATTTCGATTCTGAAGTCATCGAGAAATGTTGATGATAAAGCATTCGCTATGCTCGCACTCAGAAGCTTTATGAATGATCCTGGTAAGTCATAGGAATATGGGTACAGAAATTCATCTCTATGATTTGATGTTTTAAAGTGATATTTTGCTCCCTCCGTTTTTTTCAAAGTCATTTTGGGCATAAAAATAAGTAAAATGCATGTTTATCGCATGGAAAGTGTCTTATTTGCCTAAACTTTCAGAGGGAATGAATGTTCTTACCTTACACATTAAGGATATCATGAAAACTATGAGAGAATTGAAGAAATCATCTGTTATAGCATATGAGATGCTGAAACTTCTCTCGGATGGGCAAGAATCCAGTACTGTAAGTTCCGCGACCTCCAACTTTTTCTCTAAGAAAATCTTTCACATTAAACATCTGAAATATACTATTTTGTTTGGCAGCATGATTTTTGGAATCATAAAGAGTTGAATCAAGCAGATTGTAGCACAAATGGAGAGGTGTCATCAATAGTTTACTTCAGGAAGATGATCTTTTCTGGACATTCAGATGGAACAATAAAGGTAAATCACCTGTATTTAAAACGTCAACCATATCTAAAGAAAATTCAGTATATCTTTCAACTAATAAGCTTCAAACGCTACAGATATGGAGTGGGAGCGAAAATATCCTTGATCAGATCCAAGAAGCTCGGGAACATACAAAGGCAGTCACCAGCTTGGCCATCCTACAATCTGGAGATAAATTGTACAGCGGTTCGCTTGACAAAACTGTTAGGGTATGTTAATGTTATTGTCCTGAAGATTCGCAATGACATAACTGTTAGGGTATGTTAATATTATTGTCCTGCAGATTCGTAATGACATATCTACTTGTGTCAACAACAGCAAGAACAAAGTTTTAATCCCAAATATTTGGGGTTGGCTACATAAATCCTTCTTCGATTCAGGCTATCTCCTCCATTAACTTTCATCATACCCTTCGTAGGCTTGGTTTGATATAGGAGGGAGGTGGACTGAGGTAGGTGCCCAAGAAGAAAAAAACCCTCTTAATTAGGAAGAGAATTTTTGAAGGGTAAGGTGAGGTGGGGTATAGTAAAAGAAAGTTCAAAATGAATGGGAAGTGTAGAGAGAAACAAATCTCTGATTAGGAGGGATACATGAGGAAGGAGTGGATTTATTCTATAATAATTCTTATACCCTCACCAATTTTTCATAATTATTCAATTGTCCTTTTCTTTAAATAAGAAATGTTACCTAAAAAAGGGTATTATTGTACTTTAACTAACTCATAACCTCACCTTCCCTTCCCATCCCCTCAATCAATAAGCAAAAAGTCATTGCACCTCACCCCCCCCCCCCCACCCCCACCCCCCCCCCCCAAACACACAACAAACAGAAGGTATTAGCCTTCCCTCCCTTCATTGCTCCTTCCTTCCCCTCCTCATGTCCCCTACAAAACCAAACCTTAATTACTTCCAACCCAGTTTTCTTATGTCTATCTCTCGTCCTCATTCCCCCATTAATTATGATTTTATCTATTTGATGTATTTAGTAGCCCCTAGCGTACATGACTAAACCACATTAATAATGTTCACGCTTTTTCCCTCAATTGGAGCAACCTCTAACCTCTTATAAATGAACTCATTTCTTATCATATCTTTTAGCGTAAGAAACAAAGCGACGACATACCTACTTGTTTCTAGAACTAAATTAATGTTCCCATGTGCAGGTTTGGTGTATTCGAGATGGAAAAATATGCTGTGTAGAAGTTCATGACATGAAAGATCAGGTTCATAATTTGACTGTTGCAAATACCATTGCCTGTTTCTCTCCACAAGGAGCTGGTGTCAAGGTATTATATCAACATAAGCAATGACAATGAACATCTATTTTAGGAAAGAAAATAACTTGACATGAACAATTAGACTATTAAACTGTAAATCTTTCCATGATTCAGAAGATATCAATGAAACTATGTTTTCTATTTCTGATCAGGTATTTTCTTGGAATGGTGGCTCCAAGCTAATTAATCCTAACAAGTATGTGAAGACCTTGGCTCTTGTGAATGGCAAACTTTATTGCGGATGTCATGATAATAGCATCCAGGTCTGTTCAGTTCTAATACACAGATACACGTTTGTATATTAATATATGTACATATGTGTGTACATGGTTGACAACTTGACTGATTCAATAATGAATAATTCAGGAAATAGATTTGGCATCAGGGACACTGGGTTCAATTCAAACAGGCAACAAGAAGCTACTAGCGAAAGCCAACCCGATATATGCATTGCAAGTTAATGATGGGCTGCTCTATTCAGCAAGCAGTACTTCAGATGGCTCAGCAGTTAAGGTAAATTTTCTTTTCTTGTCATATAGCATATCAATGACTGGAACCAATGCAGCTGATGTTTTTTCACCTTGGACATTTCACAGATACATAATGCTTCAAACTACACCCTCGTAGGATCTTTGCCATGTACAGCAGAGATACGGTCAATAGCCATCAGCGCAGATTTGATATATATAGGGTGTAAGATTGGGATTGTGGATATATGGGCAAAAGAAAAGCTTACAAGGATTGCGAGTCTTCAAACAAAGACAAACTCTAAAGTACAATGCATGGCTGTTGATAGCGAGGGAGAAGTTTTAGTTGTGGGCACATCTGATGGAAGGATTCAGGTAAATATTCAACATACTTTAAAACACCACAGAGATATTCAACTGTCTTAGAATGTAAAATTATAACATTAAGGTAGAAAATCCTTTTTTTTTTCTTTGTTCATCTAAATTGATTATTTTTTCTTGGTTATGATAGGCATGTTCTTGTTTTTTCAGGCTTGGGGACTAGCCTAAAAGGAAGCAAGGGGATGTACAGTATAGAAATTTCATTTTAATTGTCCATAAAGGAATAAGAAAAGATTTTTTATTCATTGATTACTTCGACATGTGCTCAGATTTCAGCCTTCATAATTAGAACTCTGAAATTGATACTATGTAACAAGTTGCAATTATTCCATTTTAGCAACTTTGGAAATTGAAATGCTTCATTCCACTAATATATGTAATTAAAGGGAAGTGTAAATGCATATTCAATTAATCTTTTGGTCTTTTGGACACAAACTCCTCAACAGACATAAATAATCTGTACTTTTTATATTGTATGAATCTGCATGATGCCATAGCTTCAAACAAAATAAGTTTATACTTTGTAATTATTAGTTTTGACCTGTATAAAGAAAGCGAATTTGGATCCTCTTCACTTCTTGCATGATAGTAAAGAAACTAGTTTCCAAGAGTCATGTGACCATGAGATGTAATTGTGAAGAAACATCATATTCCTAGAAGCACGAGAGCATGAAATAAAGAAGGGAAAGTGAAAAAGCAAAGTAGGGGTGGAAAAGTGAAAAAGCAAAGTAGGGGCGGAAAAAGATCAAATCAACATCGAGATTACATGCTAAAATGCATAGGCTTAACCCTGGCCTTCTGCAACCAATAAACTCGTAATAAATACATTTGAATATCCTTTTTTGAGCACAAATATACCTGATATATCCCATATTGCTTTTGTTATTTGTTTTTTTTGGTTTGATTTTGGGATAAAAATGAAGGTACTAATTGTGGAACAAGAAAGTATTTTGATTTTGTGATGAATATAATGGCAGTAGAAAGTCTTTTGATTTTGCAATGAAAAATAAAGGCAGCAATTGTTGAATAAGAAAGTCTTTCTCATATTAATTATACAAAAGTCCAATGTCAAAGCAAGTGCCTAAAATATAACATTGAATAAGTTTGATTAGTAGGTCATTTATTCTAGATACTGACGCACTGAATTCTCTGTTGTATACAAAACTAGAACTGAATCAAGCATCAGGACAGCACCATGCCTCCAGAGTCACTGTTTCCACTCCTATGTTTTTCATGTCGAAAATGTTTGCTGGATCAAAGGAAAAAAAAAGTAAACAGAAGAATTTCAACATTCAATATTTGATTCAAAGGATGTAACTTTTATGGATAAGTCACAAACAGTATCATGTTTGTATATGTTCATTCCTTGGATTAAAAAATTAGATGTATATTCTGAGACTCTTCGTAAACTGCCCTCGCAAAAGTCATAGGCCAATATAAATCAATGGTTCCAAGAACACATATAGGAAGAGAAGATTCCTAAACTAGCACCAAACTATATTGACTCTCGAAGTTCAAGGTGGATCCTATCTGAATAAATAATTATAACTGAAATTTTGAAGTCTTATTATGTACTAGTGATGATAGAAACCACTAAGTAAAATAAAGATAACAAGTTCTAGATTAGGAGGAAGGAGAAAAAATAATTTTATCAATGATATAGAAAGATAAGGCATATTTCATAGATGAACACAGTAAGGAGTAGTCACGATGCTTAGCGCAGGTGTTTACATGCATATATTCAAAATTAGATGGAGGATATGCATTTTACTTTACACTTCTATTGTTAATTTACAAGCATATACTCATAAAAATTTTCTACGTGGCTTTTAAAACATGCATTAGGAAAGAATTACAGAGGTTGCCAGAGGAACACTCACCAGCATGTACTTCAGGTGTTTTTGCTGCAGTTGCATCAACAATCACAGTAACAGGTAGGTAGTTCAATGCCACGGCATCAAAGACAGTTTGCCTAATACAATTTGGTGTTTGAACTCCTATATGTGATGTAAAAAAAACAAAAGTTAATAGATTCAGCACATTGTGGGATATACTGCAAAATGAAACACATAGTAATATTTCTATATCGTGATTGTGGAAGGTAACCCCCAAAAAAATAATAATAATAATAATAATAATAATTCTTTTGTATTGCATCATATGCTTACCAACAACAACCAAGCTCTTGATTCCATTGCTCTGAAGAAGTGAGTTGAGGTGTGTGTCAAAGAATGCACTAAAGCGCGTCTTTACCAATTTATATTCTCCTTCCTTGGGTACAAGTCCATCTATTAGCTCTGCACCTTTGGTGCCCTTTGTAGTAGGCCCATTACCGCTAGCATACAAGTGCCTTCGGAAGAGTTCGACATCTCTGCCTGCACGGTCGTGCTCACGAACGACCTACAGTCACTCATCTGTAACTGCTTTTTTCAATGAATAAAAGGAAGTAATGTGAAAGACAAGTCTAGTAAGCTTTATTCTAACTATGCACATGCAGAAAACTTTATTATTGAAGGTCATAGTTAGTATCAATATTTTAATTATTTGATCAAAGAGCTCAATGATTAACGATATAGTTTGCTCTTCAATTCAAAATGATCATTACACTCAAAAGGTAAACCATAAGCACTTCTAAGAGTATATTTGACAACTTCTGTAGGCCAATCTTCACAATGATGAGAACCCAATTCTTAAGCACCATGTTCCTCTTTCATTTCAATTTTATAACCTCTTATCCGCACAAACTTTTGATTGCACGGAGTTTTCTCCATAAAAGGGCATTGTTCTTATATTCAACACCCCGCTAAAAGATGGTGCTTAACAAAAATTCTACTCATTACTCCCTAAAATCCTGCTGTGGATGACTTATCTGTACAAATATGAAACATTGCTACTGAACTACTACTGTAATCCTAAAGCAAATTCAGAAAATATAAACCAAATTCTCAGCAACTATGACGGGTAAAGGGGAAAAAAAAAGGTACCCAAATCACGAGAATCCCACGCTCCCTCGCAACAGAGACGGCTTTGATGACGTTTGAGACAATTGCTTCACCGCCGTCCACGCGCATCGGAGCATCGGGCAAAATAAAATCATTCTAAACCCAAAAAAAATAAACTAATAAAAACTGATAAGTACCCTAGCTTTTGATTTTTTTCCCCCTTTCAATTCCAAAAAAGAATGAGAAAAAGAAGTAAGTTCGAAATTGAGAAGACCTGCATGTCGATGACGAGCATCGCCGTTGAAGAAGCCATGGCGACGAGATGGAAGCCTTCAATTCCCAATTCTGCGGCTGGATTCTAAAGTTTAGAAGTAGACAGGAGTCGAGGTCGAACTTGAACCAGTCTTTGTTACTATATTTTACACGCTTAAGTAGATCCGCGGTGAACTTTACGACTGGCAATTTTTTTTTTTTTCCACCTCCCGACTTCTCAAGTTATTATATTGGACAAATTTTCAAAACCAACCTATTTGGACTTTTATTCCCCAAAAACGACCCCATTCAAAAATAATTGCAAAAACCGACCTGGTTTCAGCGTCAGCGCTGAAACCAGGTCGGTTTTTGAAAAAAACTCTCCGAAACTTCACGGGAGTTGAACTCCCGTGAAGTTTCATAGTTCAAAAAACTTCACGGGAGTTCAACTCCCGTGAAGTTTCGGAGAGTTTTTTTCAAAAACCGACATGGTTTCAGCGCTGAGGCTGAAACCAGGTCGGTTTTTGCAAATAAAACTGAATGGGGTCGTTTTTTGGGAATAAAAATCCAAATAGGTTGGTTTTGAAAATTTGTCCTTATTATATTTTACACGCTTCTTTGTCTCTTCTCTCTCTAACAAATTAATAAGACAAGATGCAGCGTCGAAGTTGAGGAACAACACAGAGGTAGCTTGGGTCCGCGAGCTCAAAGATATTGTTTATGATGCTGAAGACATTCAGGACTCGCTTCTATTGAAGACCCAAGATTTGTTTGCAACGCAAGAGCAAGAAGTCGATGGTGCGGTAATTATTCCCCCCCATTTGCCCACGTCCTGTTTGACAATTTGCTTCCGTAGGTGATATATAGTATATTATTTTTATCGTTTCATTTCTTGAAGTTATAATCTTTTAGATCTTTTTGGTAATGAGGCTTAGACCCAGGGACCTTCTGGATTCAATTTGCTTAAACAATTTGGCTAGAAGCTGCTAGTGTTCAGTGTATTCAACAAAATAGCTAGCAACAATAATTATCTTCCACTCAAATTTTGTAAGAATTATCCAACCTAAGTATATCCAACCTCTTAATTAAGTACACAGCAAAATAATGAGGCAACCCACATGCTTGTCCTCATCCAGGTACTTATTTCATCAACTAATGTAGCTGTATCTTATGACCGTCCACAACGGAGTGCTCAGTAGTTATGAGCATTAAAGGTGAGAATTTGCAACTATTGCAAATGGGAAAGTAACGGAAATAAATTTAAAATTCAAACAATGTCCATGAATCATTTGAATTGGCATTAACATAAGGCATGTCTATTAAAGAAGCACCAACTGAGTTACATTGAAGAATAATTTGATAACTTTATCCCAATCAAAGAAGAGTTCTCCATGAAAGGTATAGGAAAAATTAGTAAGCATTCATAAATTACATACTTTGTTCTTCAAATACTAAAAAAATTAAATATTAATATTATAATATAAAGCAAATTTGCAATAAAAAATACATGTATTTATATAGTTTAGATCTTTATGAAAAATGATAGGGATAGAGCAAATATAATATTATTGACATAACAGAAACTCTTATTGGATGCACATCATAAGAATTCATTGTAGAGAAAAAAAAAAGGTAGCTCATAATATTATTTAAGTAACAAATAAGGAACACAGAATTTGATATATATGAAATTAATATTTATTCTCATTGAAATAAAAAATCAAAGTCTGTATTTCAAGAAGTTTGTGTTTAACATTGGAAATACATTTAACTTTTTTTTGAAGCTAAATGACAATATAAAAGATTAAGAAGATCAGGAAAGTTAACAACACAAAAAATACAACTCTAGCCTGATATCATAATCGAGTAGATGATTAATACACTACTCTAGAATTGCTCGGAAAAAAAATAAAGGTGAGGAAGGATTGATCTTAGCTCAATAAAAAAATAAAACAGAAGGAATAAAAGATAATACTTTCTTAATATTTAATAGACTAGCTTAATTATTTTGAGTGAATTTAGGAATCTTTAGAAGGGAGTTTCATGAGCTTTTTTCAGTACTTTTGTATGCTTGTGCAAATGCTTTTATCATATGAAAGTATACTAGAGTTATTATTAATCTTTAATATATAATTTTTTTTATGAAGACTATTAATTATTAGAAACAAACTTTATATTCTCTTTTTTACCGTTTTAGCATACTTTTAACCAATTATTTTGTCTTATTGGTTTTAAATATCCACCTTCCTTGTATAACACTGTTTCAATATTTTTCATATTTGTAATATTATACTTTCTCAAGTAAAGCTTGGTTTTATGTCACTCAAAATAATATAAAAATTTAAGTTAGCTTCAAATTATATTTGTTTTTTATCAATTCAAATATCAATATGAAAATTTAACTTGGGTGTAGCCCATTTAAACAAACATCAAAGAAAATAAATAATCACAATATTAAAGTTTAGAAACAAAAGTGACATAAACTATTAAAGTGGAACTGATAAACAAATTTTAGTTAGAAAATTAGCCAAAAATACTTAATCATGGTATTTAACCACATGCATTGCACGTGTATAAAACCTAGTGTGTGTGTGTGTGTGTGTGTGTGTGTGTGTGAGAGAGAGAGAGAGAGAGAGAGAGAGAGAGAGAGAGAGAGAGAAATTTGATTCTAAGGAGACACCTTAGATTGAATCTAAGGATGCACCTCTCGATACATGGATTGAGCTATTTCAATGGATGATCCGCTCCATTTATCATGATCTAAATATCTTAAGAAATTTATAAAATAAAAATCATGATATTTTAATACTTCTAACACATATTTTTTATTGTCACTTTAGTTGTATTGTCGTAAAACCGTTAATTTTACAACCACTTGATGCATGAGTAACTACAACCCAATATACCTAATTTTTTATTTATACACCATCCAAAACATATAGATCAAAATGAACGGAGTCGATCAAGTAAATTGATTATATGTAACGTAATTTTGAAGGTGCATCCTTAGATTAAATCTAAGGTGACTCCTTAGAATCATATTTCCCTATATTTTGAAGATACATTGGCCCTGCCTCTGATGAGCCCTCTTCGTCAGAACTGGCGCACCTTCAACAAATAACTCCTTGACTGAGAATGAGTTGTTGCGAGCAAAAATCCGACTTCGTTGGACATCGGAGGGGTGTTGTGAGGGGAAACCTCAACAACGATTGGGCGAGAATCTTCACATTGGGTCTTCTTCAGATCCGAAGACCATTGAATCTTTTTCGACGAAGAGATCTTCCTACATTTACGAGGGGAGGAGGATCCAGAGGAGGAGGATGTGATGTACTCCTCAAACTTCTGTTTCTCGAACTCATACTCGACCTCTGCATCAACCAGGATCTTGATCTTCAGTTGCAACACGACAGCCTCGGCAGAAAGGCTGTTGGTTCCTACTGTGGTCGCCAGCGTGTTTGCGTCAGAAATCAATTTCATTATTGAATCCATTACAACGTTTATCATTTACACAGATTCAAAAGAGTTAATATTTTTATAATATTTCTCATTACAACAAAAACAAAAAGAGATCTCCTAGAAACACACGCAGAGATCGTTTATCGGTCGCTCCTTGCGTGGGATCTTTGCATGTACTGGGGACGCTTTGATCCATGGACCGCCAAATAGCAGATCCGGGTTGATCTAAAAGAAGGCTCGTTGTTCTTTGTTTCAATTGAGGAAACTTAGAACATAAATGAATAACCTCAACAAATTGAGATTACTATTCTTCTCAAGATCAAAACAAGGTCTGATCTCAAGAGAATGGTGAAAAGGCTGTAGATCTCTCGAAATCCTCTCTTTATGCGTAGGAATTCGCCAAGATCTCACCTCTACTTCTCTGAAATTCGTGGGTTCTGCCCTCAAAACGTCAGCAACTCGCCTCCAAGTCCAAAATTCCAGATCTACCCTCACAAATGCACGAAGGGGGGTATTTATAGGCTTCGAACGCCGTGTTTTTGGATAAGATCTCGTGATTTGATCATATCTTCAGTTAATAGCAACTTTCCCGTGTTTGAGAATATTCCCAAAGCAGTTAGAAAGCCACTTGACCGCACGAATCCTGAAAATCTATCGAAATACGCGTCGACGGGAGGCTTGTTTTGGTGTCTCATTTGCGAGACGCATTGTTGTGTCTTATGTCTTATATGCGAGATGTTGGCCTTTTTGTTTTGATGATGTTTAACAAACAATTTACCACTAATGTTATTTGTCTAGTGTTTGTGTATTTCTATTTATTGTAGATAAACAACATGTTGGAGGATGGATGGATTGCGCCATAACGATCATATCAAATGGACGTTGGCAGAATAGTGGGTGAAGCCTATGTAATTCAAGTTGAAGATCCAAGTTCTATCTTCATCCGCAATGTGTACCAAGTCAAGCTTATTGAAGATCAAGATCAAGCTTGGGTAACATTAGTTTAGGTTTATATTATGTGTGTTGGTACTTTAAGCTCAATCATATATACACACACATTATATTGGTTTCCTTGTATATATATAGTTATATATATATACAACACAAGTATTGGTTTTCATATATATATATATATATATATATAATATAAGAGATGACCGATGAAATGATAGAGATCAAAATAATATTTCATCATCCAACGTACAGAAATACAAAGTCAATGTCTGAAATGAATAAACTGGATTTCTGAACAAATCCCAAATACAGCAAGTCTGAGTAAAGGAAATAAGGCACACAGCCTTTATACCATCTAGAATAAAATCCTCAAAGGTCTAAACAAAGTCTACAGTGGAACTCCATAAATAAAATATAACTAAATAGACAGCTAAAGCTATAGTGCATCGCCATCGACCTGCGACTCGCCGGGCTTCTGGCTCGTTACCTGAAAGGGGGAGGGACAACGAGCGTCAAAGCGCTAGCGAGCAACATCACAACCAACCCCAAGGAAAAGGGCTCGTTGTATACAGAAAATACAATTATTTCATAATAGTTAAAATCTTTGATCCTAGCAAATAATGGGTTTTAGTATTTAGGAAATTACAACACGAGCATAGGTACGTCGAGCGAAATAATCCAAACAACGAAACCCTCATGTATATACCTTGTATCTCAAATTGTAAATCCCTAAACACCAAACCCAAGATCTAAAACAGGAACAATAATAAAGAGAAATACA